CTGAACCTGTGAATTTCCATTATGTATAGCTTCCTTTTCTTAAAAGGGATATAAGAAATTCAACATGTTACTCTCAAAACTATCCTGCTTGTCTGTTTCCTTCTGCAAGTCCTTTGATTCTCACTGTACATTTTCTTTTAAATGCTTCAATGACACTCCTTTCTTCTTGGAGCATTGGGGTGGGGGTGAGTAGCATTATTACTAGTCTGCCTCTCTCCCCAAATCCCCCTTCCGTTGAATAAAGAGAAACAAAATTTCTGTAACAGTTATTCATAATCACACCACAAAACTAATCTGCTCACTGGCCATGTCTGAAGATTTGTCTTGTTCTGCATGCTGAGTCCGTCACTATTCTCGCAGGAGTTGGTTAGCTTGCTACATCGTTGGTCTTCACACATCGTGGCAGGTCATTGCATTAATCAGAGTTCTTAAATCTTATGAAATTGTTTTCTTTACATTGTTATAGTTATTATATGAAATATTCATGCTCTGCTTACTTCACTCTGCATCAGGTTGTGTAAGGTTTCTCTGAAATTGTCCCTGCCCAAGCCTCAGTTGCTCATTGTTTGGGTTTTGGTGGCTCTGAGTGACTGTAAACAGCAATTGTTTTTGTTCTGGCCAGAAACTCAGAGGGTCCTCCTCTCCCAGACTGATTCTTCTATGAAGGCAAACCAGGACCTCTTTTGCCTCAATTCTTACCTAGCCTTTAATTACTGAATGGGCATTGCCTCTGACGAACCGAAACCTTGAAAAGCCCTTAGCTTAGAAAGGCCAAGGTCTCCCACTGCATCCAGGGCCATCACCAGTCATCTTGACCTATGTCTTGCCACTGGACTCTGATGACTTTGGAGGAAACAGTGAGGTTGATGACTTTGCATAGCTCCGCCTCATTTTAATCCAAGTCACTTGCAAGTCAAGACATCACCCTCCTGATGTCATTGATCCTCTTCGAGAACCAAAGATGAACAGCAGCCACAATGTCTGAAATCATCCCTTTTGTTATTTCTTCAGGCACAATAATATTCCACTAAATTCATAGACCATTTGTTCATGCATTCCTCAACTGATTGGTGTCCTCGTTTGTTTCCAGTCCTTTGCTACATAAAACAAAAAGAACTGTTATTAATATTCTTGTACTTATAGGTCCTTTTCCTCTTTCTTTGATCTCTTTGGGCTATAAACCTAGTAGTTACCCCTGCATATCTCAGTCTTAGTATCTGATCCTCTCTATGTAGCATTTATGTGTGTTGCATGTTGAATGCTATATATGCATTACTTTGATCATTCAAGTTTTCAAAGAAAAAAAGACTAATAAAAGCAAAGGGTCAAGTCAACAGGCAGGTACTACGCTAAGTGTTGGGAATGCAAAGAAAAGCAAAAACAGTGCCTGTTCTCAGAGAGTTTCCATTTCTTGGAGAAATTGGAACTTTAGTTGAGATTTGAGGGAAGAAGGCTGAAATAAAGAGAGAGTGAAATCCAGGCATGGGAAACAGCCAGGAAAATGCATAGAGTCATGCAATGGAGTGTCTCATGTGAGGAAGAGTAAGGAGTCCAGTTTTACTACATCATAGAGTACATGGAAGATTGGAAAGGTAGGAAGAGGGCAGTTTTAAAAAAACATTCTTATGTGATTGAAAAATGATTCTGTGACCACCTAGTTACCACCACCTGTAAAGGAAAATATGTTGAATTTACCTTGTTCCAGAGTGGTCCATTAAAACATAAAACATAGATAGGATCCAGGTTTGATCTTTTTTTATTATTTCAAGACTGTTTTTATATGGTAAAGAATACCATATTGAAAAATAGTTGGGGAAAAAAAAGAAAGAAAAATAGTTGGGAAGTCTCTCATTTTTGGCCAGCTTAATGACTCAATTGTATTGCCTATGTAATTGATACAATCAACTGTACAGAAATTGGTTATTTAGAAACCTATATGACCAGAATCTCCTCTCAGATATAGTTCCACTTATATCAGTAAATATGTCTATATACAGCGTATGAATATAGAAATTCTGGGATTTTTCATTTCTTCTGCCTACATGCAAGGAGATACTTGTTATATTTGGGGGACAAAAAATGGGGTAAAAAAGAAATATGGAATGTTTTTGTTTCTGTATGTTTTATCTTTTGTTTATTGTATAATCTAGGTTCTGTGTTTGTTCTGTTAAAACATGCAATAAAAATATCACAGGAAAGAAAGAGGCAAGACTTTTTTTCTTGTTATTCTGGTGCACTTGGCTTTGAAACAGCCTAAGCTTAAATATTTCAGCAATTTAGAATTCAATTGAATTGTGGTTTGCAGTACCCTGGAAACTTCATTAATATGGTCTTGCATTTGGCAATGATATTAATCCATGGAACAACTTTAAAATCTACTATGCATCATTAAACTCATTTAATGCCTCATAATAGGTGTTTAAATAAGTTTAAGTACCCCATAATTTCTGGGGAACTTGGTTCTTCTCATGAACTGCAAAGCAATTTATTTTTAAAATGTTGCCTCAAGGTTGATTTTAATTCAGACACTTTTACTGGAATTGTATCAGGAAGCTCTGTCGCAGGGTATTATAACACTATTAGTTCAGTTTTCTTGAAAGCCAGATCTTTTGTCCATTAAGATACTGAGGTACTGGAAAATATTTTAAGAGTTGTATGGAATGCATACCAAAGGAGGTATTTGAGCAATGTGGTCAGCATAGCACTAACATTCTCAAAGCTGCTAAGGAGCCAGACATCTAATTTTCACTGAAAATGTTTTAATCACTGGAGAACTATTAAAAGAGAAGTCATTGTTTGAACTACCCCAATGTCGCTACTGTCATGTCACCATAGCGGGGATTAGAATACAGTATACCACCACTGAGGATGTAAGGGATAAATCTACATGGTTGTTCCATACAAGATATTGTGAGCCCCCCCTGGAAACTTCCAGTGACATATGTGGCTCAATCCTGAAGGGTCATCCTTGGTCCCCCACTCTGGGATGGCTGAAAGCAGCCTTTTGTGATGTGGGGAGAAAAGTGGTCAAACTGCATCAGGGAGAATTGGCCACTAAAAGAGCCTCTCCCTTAGTAGACTTTAAAGGGAGTGAATCTTCCATCTGACTCTCCCTTCCATCCTCTCTTCAGAATGAGTGATGAGTAAGATTTCCTTTCTGTGTTTTCCTGTGAGGAGTGGGGAGGAGAATGGGAGCACTCTGTCAGCCAAACAGAAATGCCACCTGAGGGCACATAGCAGTGTGCACATTTGCTGCCTATGTGATCCTGTTCCTGGGCATTGGGCCTTTTCCTGAGCATAAGTAACTGAACATCAAACCTGTGATGGACATTTCCAGCCATGGAGGTAACCACAGGACCATAGAGTCAGCAGGGACCTCAGAGGTCATTTACTCCAACCACCTCATTTCACAGACAAGGTTACTGAAGCCTGGGAGAGGCTAATATAGGTCATCTATACAGTAAATGTGAAAAGTAGGATTTGAATTCATGTCTTCCTACTGCAGGATGAGTGTTTTTTCCACTGTACCACAGAAGTTGGGAGCTCCTAGGCACTTTATTGGTACTGGCTACCTGTCCAGGTACCTGTTTGGGAACTGCCTCTGGTAACTGCTTCAAGAATTGCTAGTTCTTGAAGATGACCACTGGCATGCTAGGCCTGGCTTACCAGAAGACATGGGCCTGCAGGGAACTGTATAAAGAGTGCAGAACTAAGGTGAATGTTGATTCATTGCTGATTGAACAAGCCCACCAAGTGCTTCATGTTTTGATGTTTTAAATATCAGCCTCCAGGGAGGGTATAGCAGTAGTCATATAATACTTTTGCTGCCTGTTTAAAGTCTTTGTCAGTGGGCACATATGATTCTTTGGTCTTAACCAATTATTTTGTGTAGAGGAAATAGCTGTCCCATACCTGATTTGTTGCTGCACCCTAAAGGGTCTACTGGGCCTTTCCATCTGAATTGAAGTTACAAGTTCCTATTGTCTCTCCCTATTTCTATTCTCCAGTGTTTACCATCATACTTTGTATATAGCAAACACTTAATTAATACTTTTTGTTTAATTTAGTTATTCATCTATATTGTACATAAAGTGACATTCTAGCTCCTTTAGGGGGGATCCTAAATATGAGCCAAACCTAAGCTTTAAGTGGTTCCTTCTGGGGCTTGTGAATAAGGGGTTAAAGAGCCAATACATGTGGGGATACAAAAGTTTGAATTCTCTCTAGACAACCTAGCTTCCCTCAGGACTGAACCCAGTCTGAGGATGTGGGTTCAGATTTGACAGGGACCTCCCCTCCCCTGGAAGAGGGAGAGGGCAAGCACCTCAGCCCCCCTGGGCCAAGCAGCAGCCGTGCACTTATTGCACCATCACGATTGTTTACGTTGTGATGGAGACAGTGGATGAGAGAAAGCTAGTAAAAGAAACATTGGAACCAAATCATTCTATGTAGGTTTCATCTGGAATGGGACCTATTAAGTGAAAATGATTTCCTTTTCTGCGTTCTCATAATGATCCTAGAAGTTTTGATGTGCTCCTATATTTGTCTTCATGAATATTCATAACGTAGAAGACCTCCCCATCTGACTCAAACAGTTAAAAGGTATTTAAATTGCCCCCAGCAGTTTGATAATAATGACAATTTAAGTTCTGGATACTCTAGGTCTCTGGGGTCCCCAACTTTGAGAGGAAATTAGCATATTGTTCAATACATTTGTTTAACAGTAACTTTATTATCATTCCTTTCTATTTTAGATCTTGTTCTTAACATTGTACATGCATTGCTTTCATTTTCAATTTTCCAAAGGAAGCATTTTTCCAAAAGAGAAATAATAACGATTGGTTTTTCAATTAGATCAAAGGGGTTACTGCTTTAGCTAATGTGTTGGAATATTTTAATTCAATTCAATATATGTATGTTTAGTGACTGCCTCTTGCTTAGCCAGAACTGTATTGTACTTTGAAGAAGATCTATTTTTAACTTTATCCTTTCTCCACCAGATACTAACAAGGAGATGCTTAACAGGAGATCACCAGAAAATGAAGAATATTTCTGGCACCTTTCTTCGAATGCTCTTTTCAGTGACTTTCTGGACTCCACGGACAGAAATTATGTTATTAGCTTATCAGCCAAACTTTCAGCAGAAGAAATACCAGCGGTAAGAGTAGGAAAGATGGGGTAAAGGTGAAATTGAACATTGTAATATGTTATCTTAAAAAGAGACTTAATGCTCTGAAAAAGTAACAGATTTCCCTAAAGACTGCTGTTGTCCATACCAGCTGAGGACACGTTCCTTCCGTTTCTTTTTTGATACCCATTTAGATTTATAGGATGTCAGAGAGTAAAAGGACCCAAGATGTGAACCAAGGTTAGCTACTTTTAATCCAGGGTTTATTCATCTATACCAAATCAGATCCCTCAATCATACAAGGCCTAAGAAAATGTTCCGAGAAAAGTTATTTTTTTATTTAGTAATAATTTACTGTACTCTCCCAGTGCAGTGGATGGTTTTGCCATGCAATGGGAAGAAAGCACTGACCTAGGTGTTAGGAGACATGATGCATCCTTGCTCTATAAGCAAGTAGCTCTGTGACCCCGGCCAAGTCATTTAATTGGAACTTCAGCGTCCTGATCTCTAAAATAAGGATACTAATAGTTGTATTACTTGACAGGGTAATTGTGAGAAGCAAATGAAATAATGCATGCAAAGCAGTTTATAAAACATTAAATAGAGTCACAGAATCTCAGAGCTGAAAGGAAACCTAGAGACTATTTAGGTCATCTCATCTAACAACAAGTATCCATTCTATAAAACCCCTGGGAGGTGACCATCAGCCATGTCTTGAATACATCCAGTAAGGGGGAGACTCCCCAGCTCCCAAGTCAGTCCATTCCACTGTTGGATAGCTCTGGGAGTTATGACTTTTTTCCCCCTTCTATCAAGCCTATATTTGTCTCTTGGCAATTTCCACCCCTGGCGCTAAAATAATAACTCTAACCCCTCTTCATCACTTGAGCCCCTCAAATACATCGCAACTAGCATATCTGCCTTAAGTCTCTTTCAGTCTTCTTTCTCTAGGCTAAACCCATTTTCACATGGCATGATAATGAGAATATTCACCATCATCACACCTTCCTCTAGAGGCTCACCTATTGATCATTATCCTTCTGAAAATGGAGTACCCCAAACTGAACACAATTCTCTTAAGTGTGATCTGACCAGGGAAAAGTAGAGTGGGGCTGTCATGTGTGCCCCTAGTCCTGGACACTATGCCTCTCTTAATGTTAGTTCTCAGTTACCATATCAAAATTGTCCACTTTATATTTCATAATGTTCTCTATCTCTTGTTTGGTCATAAATTCTTCTCTTCACCATAGATCTGACAGGTAAACTATTCCTTGCTCTCCTAATTTGCTTATGGTATCAACCTTTATGTCTAAATCATGTACCTATTTTGACCTTATCTTAGTGTATGGTGTGAGATGTTGGTTTGTGCATAACTTCTGTCATACAGTTTTCCAGTTTTCCCAGCAGTTTTTGTCAAATAGTGAGTTCCCATCCCAGAAGCCTCTTTGGGTTTATCCAACAGTAGATTACCATAGTCATTTACTACAGTGTCTTGCATACCTAATCTATTCCACTGATCCACCATGCTATTTCTTAGCCAATAAGTATAATATATAGATATATTACATATATTAATAATATGTATTATTAAGCCTTAATCACTGAATGGGCATTGCTTCAGTCAAACTGAGACCTGTTAAAGATGTTAGCTTAAAAAGGCCAAGGTCTCCCACTGCATCCAGGGCTATCTCCTGTCATCCTGATCTATATCTTACCACTGGACCCAGATGGCTCTGGGGGAGACAGTGAGGCTGGTGACTTTGTCCAGCCCTCCCTCACTTAAATCCAATTCACTTGCAAGTCACAGCATCACCTCCTTGGTGTCATGGTCCTCTTTCAGAACAAAGGACAAATAGGACAAGCAGCCGTTACCATATCATGCTGTCGACCCACATTGAACTTTCAATTCACTAAAATCCTCTCATTTTTTTTCATATTTGTTCATTTTCATATTTGTTGATTTTGGGGAATCCAAATATAAGGATTTACTTTTGGGATCAAGTAATGTAAGCCATTATAATGATAATAATCTATGAATTTGAAAAGAAAAGAAAATTGCCTAAGGGTTTGACCTGTTTCTTGTGGTCATAAATTAGTTAGCCAATATGAATTAGTATTAAATGCCAGCCTTGACTGAGAATTAAAATTATAGGGTGGTATGTGCACTTTCCCTCTTCAAATGCATATTTTATAATTATTGTAGAATGCTCCTCCACTGATGTCCTGCTCTAATGCCTCATCATGGGACAGAGGTGACACTCACAGGCTAGAGCAGGGAATCCTGAAGCTCTAGCAGGTAGTCCCTACCAACCAGCCTGAAAAACCTTTGGTCCTGGGCCAGGCTACAGACTGAATGAATGTCTGTCATTGAAGGGCCAACCTCACAGTGTTTAGAAAGCATCCATGAAGGGGCAGCTAGGTGGCACAGTGCATAGAGCACTGGCCCTGGAGTCAGGAGGACCTGAGTTCAAATCCGACCTCAGACACTTGACACTTACTAGCTGTGTGACCCAGGGCAAGTCACTCAACCCCATTGCCTAGCCAAAAGAAAAGAAAAGGAAGAAAGTCTCCATGATCAGAAAGCTGACAATGAAATAATGAAAAAAAAAATTGATCTACCTCCATGAAGGCAATCTATTAGAGATAAAGAGGACTTGTTTACCTTAATTGGTGAACTGGAATAACCACTCTGATGTATTGTAGAATACAAGGGCTTATAAAAGACTGAATTTGGCCATTGTATGAGTGCACATCAGCAATTGCAGATGTCACAAGAGCCTGTGATCACAGCTCCAACAAACTGTTTAGTCTTAGCTATAAGCCCCCTCCTCTTTCTCGGTGTTCACTGGTGCTGAGAGTCATAGCCTTCTACATTCATATTTGAGGCCTTGCCAGCTTGTATAGGGCCTGTCAAAGGTTGTGTTTTTCACCTGGTAGAAAACTTCTCAGTCTCACCCTTTCTAGGATGAAGCATTAAATTTTTAGTGTAGCATTATCCATCCCTAGAACCTTCAAACCAATTAAAGACAACTCTTCTGTAATGTCTAAAGCGTTGGTATCCAGTTATTTTCTGTGTGGGAGAATGGAGCTTTGATCCTGTTCCTCTGTTACCATTGTCACATAGGGTAAATCAAATTAATCTAAACATTAAGGGCAGCCTTGAATGGGAAAAGATGTCACAGCCTGTAGGGTGTTTATAGGCAAGGACTAAAGGCTGTCCTAAGGTTTTCCTTGATATAGTGTGGGAATAGAACATCAAAGAACCTCATATCTTTTATAAAAAGAAATACTCTTAATAAACTACTTAATTGTTTATATCTTCTATTCCCAATTCTGATAGTAAAACACTGTATGACCTGGGACAAGTCTACCTTTCTATGTATCTGTTTCCTCAACCTGTAAGAACTCACAGAACTCACATTTCTATCGGGTCTATCTTGCTATTTACATTTTGCAGAAGAGGAAACTGAGGCTCAGAAATGTTAAGTGACTTGCACAGAGTCATAGGTAGTAGGTATTGGAGCCATGATCCAAACCCAGGGCTTTTGACCACAAGATGAGTGTTCTTATCATTGCACCATAATGGGAAATGAGTTGGACCAGACAGCTTCTAAGGGACTCAACGATTGTACGATTCTGTGGCAACAACAGTCCAGACTCCCTCGACACTGAAGTCATGGAACATACTGATCTGTGCACCCTATGGCAGAAGCTTCAAAATCAGGGCTTTGTTGTGGACTACAAAACTCCAGGAGCTTCAACCAAATTAGGATGTAATGGGGAAATGAATGTTTAACAAATTTTAAAATACAATACGACCTAAATCATATTAATTTGTGATTTTCTAAGTCAATATGTCTCATCAGGGATCTATTTCTATTTGAGTTTCACACTACTGCCCTAAAGACAACTGAGGTGATGACTACTTCTTTTTAATGACTTCAGAGGATTTCCCCACCCAAGGGTGCCTATCTGGACCTCATCCTGGGAAGACCATGTAGCATTTCCTTCTCTGTTAAATAACAGATTTTTCCTGAGTAAGAAGTGTTTCCTTAAATTACTTATCCGAAGTTTAGCGGCAGCCCTGATACCGTTATCAAGGCAGTGGCATTGCAACAGAGACCTGGAAGTAAGAGACAGGGTTGGCACTGGGTTCTAATTAGCCCTTTGGTCTATACTATCCCTGGCTCTTGGGAATTCCCCAAGTTCCTTCACTCTGGATCCTCAGCCTGCAGGCTGAGCTAGTCCCCTTTCCAGGCAAGGGACATTTCTGATTTGGTTCTAAAAAGTAATCCATAACCTGGACAGTTACAATTTCTCTGAAAGCTCATTTCTTAAAGCACAAGTTAAATGCACATTTGTTGCCCTATGGGTTTCTGCATTGGTCATGTTGTGCGTGTTTGGATTCCCAAGAAGTATCAAAGTGAGTCTCTCATTTTGGTTCCACCATTTCCTCATTTTCTTTTTCTGCATGTTCTTCAAGAGAGAGGATGCACTGCCATCCTCTTCCTCCTCCAAAGCTTGCTTCCCCTCTGTGCTGCAGCCCATGTTCCAATTCTCGCTCATTTCCTTAGGCCCATTTGGACCAAGGCCTAACAAATCCAGTGGAAGAAAGGCTAAATGCTCCCTTGAGCTTTTGCCTTTCCTTCTGACTGTTCATATTCTGTGGATACCAGGGCTTGAGTTCTCTCCCGACATTAGCAATCCCTTCCAAGGGCTTCACTTTAGCTAGTTCTTCCTAAAGCCGTTGGTGTAGAGTGTGATGCCACAATGTGAAGATGTGCACCCAGGGATAGTCAGAGGGCAAGGGTGCCACTGCACCATCTCTAGGGATTCCTCTGCTATTTCTTCGTTTTTCTTCTTCAAAATTTACAGATTCAATGTTGTCACAAAACTTCAGGTCTTCATAGGGCATCATCACATTTCATAGTTTGTGCCTAAAGAGAGAGATTTTGATCCATCCAAGATCTCAGAGGGGGTATGCAGATGGTGCCACAAAACAACAATGCTGACATCCTTTGTTAAGAGCTGCCCGACAGCAGCTTTTTAAAAGACTGGAGAGAAAACACGGAAGTTTCCGTGATGTGTTGAATGACGACTTTTCTGACATACTGGTTGCACATATTTTCGGCACAGATTGTGAGTTCTAACAAGTCACTGATGCTACTTTCATTGAAAACCAGCATTTTAAATGGTGCAGAAAGATAGAAATAAACAGCATTTGACTGTTTTTGTGACGGTTTGATTGCTTTGAAAGTTTTCCTCCAACGGTGACAGAAATGGATTTAAATAAATAAAACTTTGGCAATTGTTTTTAGAGGCAAACTTTGTACTAAAGAGCAAAACTGGTTAATCGGTTAGTCTACCTTATCACATGCTGTTCTCCTTTCTTGAGGTACCTTTCTCAAAAACAAGAAGGGGTATGATTCCTTTTCAAATGATCAAATGATTCTTTTTCAAATCATTTCCCTCCCTTCCTTTGCAATTTCCAAACTCACCTCTGTGATACCTGTCCAGATTGGATTTAAGTCCAATCACACTTCCTTTTTTTGTTTTTTGCTTTTCAATCATTAGTTAATACATAAGTTTTCCCTAACCACACCTCTCCTTCCTTTTCCAGTTCCTCTCAACTAAAAATAATTTTTCCCTCCTCAAATGTTCTTTTAGCCCTGTCTAGATCTAACAAATACCCATATCACATTCTATCTGGTATTATACTTATATGTGAACACACCTAATCTCTTACTGTATTGTATATTTTGGGAGGATAGAGACTTTGTTCCTTTTCATCTTTTCTATCCCCAATTCTTTTCATGTATTGCACACTTGTAAATGCTTTTTGAACTGAATTGAGACAAATTTTTTCCCCTGGGACTTACAGGAATCATTTAATGCATTTATAATTATATCTCATAGGCTTACTGACCATTCATTCAAAAATATTTATTAAATACCTACTACATGCAGAATATTGCGCTGAAGGAAATTTAAAGGAAGTTCTCAAGGCGCTTACGATGTAATAAGGGAAGTGACATGTACTGATAACAACAAATTATAAATGGGAATAGAACATAAGTGCATTAGAGAAGGGGACAATGCAAATTCCCAGGAGGAAAAGATAAGTCCTTACTAAGGAGATTAGGGAAGGCTTCACAAAGAAAGTAGCATTTGAGGAGGATTCGGGAGGATGGGTAAGATTTCAACAAGAGAAAATGAGGCTTAAGCCATTATGAACATAGGAAAGTTTGGGGGCACAAAGATATGCCTGTTTGTGAGTATATTTTTTTATTTTGATCCACGTGCTCTAGGCTATTACATATTCCTTGGCATATCTTGGCACAAAGATGCCCCTTACATCTTTGTAAATCCTTAGTAAGTATTATTGGCTTGAGGACTTCTTTTATTCCTTTCTTTTTCCTTCCCGTTCTTTCCTCTTTCCTTATTCTTGTTTGTCCTCTAATGGCCTGCTTCTCCTGCCACTCATTCACCTTAGGTCTATAAGACATTCTTTTGGGGGCACGAGTGAGGACTCCATGCCTGCCCAGTAGTGGCTCCATTATGTGCCATAGCTCTTTGAAACTCCCAAGGTGGGAGTTGTTCATTATCCACTGTTGGATGGATGGGAGTTGTTAGAGGAGGCGTAGGGGATCTTTCATGGGCCTGTTAGAAGGGACCACAGAAGTCATCTGGTCCAACTTGTACCTGACCGAGGATCTAGCCCCTTTACAGTAGTCCCAGCAAGTACTCATTCCACTCTTACTGGAAAGCTTCCAGAAAGTCAATGTAGCATAGTGAATGGAGTGTTAGACCTGTAGTTAGGAAGACCAGGGTTCAAATCCAGGGGCAAGTAATTTAACTTCTCTGTGCCTCAGTTTTTTCATCTGTAAATTAAGGAGTTTAGACTTAATGGCCTCCAAGGTCTCTTGAACTGATGATGATGACTGTGTCAGATCAATGATACCGTGTAAATAAATTGTTTTCTAAACCACAATGGCCTACACATATGTCAGCTATTATTATTGTTATTGCTCTAGGTGCTATACCATCAGCTTTTAACTCCCAGATGTCTGCTTTTAGTTTTTTTTTAATTAAATGAATTTTTTTTCACTTGCCAAATTTATTTCCTCTCCCTTTAACCTCACCTCCCCTAGCTGAAAAAGCAAAACAAAGAAAACGCCTGTAAAAGAATAACAAATAACAATTAAGCAAAACAAATTCCTCCACTGGCCATGTTCAAAAAATAAATGTTTAAGGCTGTACCCTGGGCCCATCACCTCTGTCAAATGGGTGGCATGTTTCATCATGGGTCCTCTGAATACACGGTTGGTCATGTGTTGTGCAGAGTTCCAAAGTCTTTCAAAGTTGGTTTGTCTTTGTGTGGTTATTATGTAAATTGTTCACCTGGTTCTGCTCACTTAACTCTGTATCAGTTCATACAAATCTTCCCAGGTTTCTCAGAAACCAATCCTCTTCATCAATTGTTGTAGCACAATAATATTTCATTGCATTCATGTGCCATAGTTTGTTTAGCTATTCCTCCAAGATAGTTATCCCTTAAGTTTTCAGTTCTTTGATACCACAAAAAGAACTGCTGTAAATATTCTTATACATGTGGATCTTTTTCTCCTTTCTTTGATCTCTTGGGGTATAGGCATAGAAGAGGTATTACTGGGTCAAAAGGTATGCATGTGCTCTTTTTAATATGAATATAATTGGTGATTATATTTCTTGCCTAGGAAATCATTTCTATGCAGAAACGGCGTGAGGCAGCTCGGCAGGCCCTAATGGGAAAGGTTCCCCCAGATTGCACTATCCTGTTTCAAAGGTAAAGTATAATTTCATATCAAGTAACTTTTGAATCCATACATTTTTATCATTTTTTGAATTTCCAAGGTTCATATATACCATTTCTATCCTAAGTTACAATTAAAAATGAGAAATTCCCTTATAGAACATTATATTGTCAAATTGGGCCTATTGTAATACAACCATATTCCTTTTTCAATTTCTCACTATTCTGTAATTAATATAATAAATATACTTTTATAAAAAATTATAGAAATTGGAGTAGCTAGGTGGCGCAGTGGATAGAGCACCGGCCCTGAAGTCAGGAGGATCTGAGTTCAAATCCGGCCTCAGACCAAACACTTGACACTTACTAGGTGTGCGACCCTGGGCGAGTCACTTAACCCTAATTGTCTAAAAAAAAAAATTATAGAAATAGATACAATAGGTTACAATTAAATAATGATTTAGAATCTGGATTTCTGCAAAGGCAGCAAAGTGTAGTGAGTATTATCTAGCCCTTGGAGTCAAGAAGACCTGGTTTCAAATCCTTGCTCAGATATATTGCAGCTCTACGACCCTGGATGCATCATTTACCTTCTCTGTGTTTCAGTCTCCTCCTTTGTAAAAACAGGGAGGGAGGAGCAGCTAAGTGGCACAGTGGATGGAGCACTGGCCCTGGAATCAGGAAGACCTGAGCTGAAATCTGGCCTCGGACACTTGATACTTACTAGCTGTGTGACCCTGAACAAGTCATTTAACCCCATGGCCTAGCCAAACAAACAAACCAACAAAAACAGGGAGGGGAAGCTAGGTGGTACAGTGGATAGAGCACGACCCTACAGTCAGAAAGGCCAGAGTTCAAATGTGGCTTCAGACAGTTACTAGCTGTAGGACCCTGGGCAAGTCACTTAACCCCAATTGCCTCTAAAACAAACAAACAACAACAACAAAAAAACCCAAGGGATTGTACTTGATGACCCTAAAGTCTCTTCCAGTTTTAAACCTATTAGCCTGTGACTTCAGGGTATTTTAAAGCCCACAATAAGAGATAGTATCTGAATACAGGTATCCCACATTCCCAACTTTTGTCCATGAAGGTTAATTTAACAAGTTCCATTATTCCGTCAATGAGAGAGAAGAGTCTTTTTCAGGTAATGGGGGAAAACCAACTTCCCACATATATTCATCTTTATTCTCTGTTTAATCTGGTTTTTCAGAATTGAAAAATCACTGAATTGAATTTAGTTGCTTATACACGTCAGTAAAGTGTATTACTTCTAGGCAAATAAGCAAGTAGTACAGCTGTACATTAGGGACAGACACTGCCCCTGAGCTTGAATGCTTCTGGAGGCCATGCTACAAGGCTGGACTTTTCTGTCTAGGGTCCCCAGACAGGCTTCTGGCCATGTCTTTGTGTAGACCAACCTAGGATGGCAGAATGTATCTTTTGTCGTTTCTCCTTAGATTGCTTGATCACTATTTCATTTGGTGGGGGTTTTTTTCATCCTTTCTGAAGTAGTTATGAGAAAATTAGATTGTTTTGCTTCTCCTTACCATGTCAACTTGAGGAGAATGGCAGCATGTTTTCAATGCTGACCCATATATAATGAGAAGTAGGGTGGGGGATGTAATGAATTAAATGTATGGTTGGGAAAAAAACAAGTGAGTTGGTCGTGTAGTTAGAATAAAGAATACCAGATGCACAGCTCAAGTACTCTTCAAATAATAATGGCTGGCATACCTATTAGGCAGCTAGGTAGTGCAATGGAGCACTGAACTTGGAGTGAGGAAGAGCTGAGTTCAAATTCTGCCTCAAATACTAGCTGTGTGACCCTGAGCAGGTCACCTTTCAGCCTCAGCCTTCTTATCTGTAAAATGGGAATAATAATAGCACCTACCTCCCAGGGCTGTTGTGAGGATCTTTGTAAAGCACCTGACGTACAATAGACACTATATAAATGTTACCTGTTATCATTATTCCCTTCTAGGCATTATGTCTATAATTTGGGTAGCCGCCACTAAATGAATGGTGTGGTATCTCCTTTTGACTACAAGGGGCAAATAGGCTCACTTCACGTATTAATAACTGAGAAAGCATTTGTTAGGCATTGTTTCATCCTCCTCTAATCCTTTTTATTTTTAGGAGAAATATTTGCTCTCACTCTTCTGGTAACCAGATACTTCAGGCTTCATGTCTGTTCTACATAATTTTAACCTGTTCTGCCCTGCTCTGACTTTTGACATCAAAATGCTGCTAAATTCCTATGCCCACTGTTTCAGCTTATTGAAGGGAAAGTATTAATTCGACTCTTGAGTTCATTTTCTGTCTACCCTTTCCCTTCTGAGTGGTATGGGCTTTCTGGTACTCATGGTTTTTAGAACCGGTTCTAAAATGCTTTTTCAGCCTTGCTCACTTATTCTCCATCTAATGGGGGAAAAAGAAAATAGAAAAGGAAGAAAAAAATTCCAGTGTGATTCCCTGAGTTAGTATCAAACCCTTTCGTAATCTTCTTGAATCAAGAAAAGGTTTCCTTGGCAACCATGATTCTATTCAAGTCTCTTACCTATACAGAATCACAGAATGCTACCTCTTCTCTCTGTGTCAATGCTGATAGGGTCTTTTTTTTGGTCTGATAAATTGTGCAGCTTCTATAATTTTTTTTTAAAACCAGCTTTCGGCTAGAGGCTTCATAACAAGGCCAAACTCTTTTTCTTCATGAACATTTTAAAATGCATTTAACACAACAGAACTATTTAAAGTGAGAGATGCAGTTATTTCTTCATGTGGTATCAATGATTAATAAGAATAGATTGTAGCAAGGGGACAGATGAAAATGTATGAGCAAGGGAAGAAATATTAATTTTCCTTGCAATTCAGAATAAGCAGAAGCGGCAAAGTAGATTGTATAATTATAGGATTAGAGCCCAATACCCGTGGATCTAAGATTGTCCCTTAACTTCAGACCTTGAAGAAGGAAATGCTTTGCCTGGAATGTATATTCTCTTCACCTCTGCAAATTCACACAATCACTAGCTTCTTTCAAAGCTCAGCTGAAGTATCCCCTCATCCAGGAAATCTGTCATGATCACCCTACCCCAAGTTACTAGTGTCTTCTGTCCATATATGTAACTGTAAATGTAAATGTATATGCCTATGTCTGTCTGTGTCTGTGTCTATGTCTATGCCTACATGTCTGTGTCTGTGTGTGTATACACACACACACACATATGCACTGTGTATGCATACATGCATGTGTCTGCATGTACATGTGTATATGTTTATGTCTATATGTGCATGTGTATATGGGTATATGTGAATGTGTGTGTGCTTATCTGTGTTCACTTTGTTTCCCCAAATAGAATATAAGCTCCTTGAGGCAAGGACAATTTCATTGTTGTCTTTCTAGCTCCAGCACCTAGCATAGTCAGGCATATCATAGGCGTTAGTAAATTCTTGTTGAATGATTGAATGACCACATGGTGTAGCAGAATGTGTATACTAGGGACTCAGGACACAGTGACATACTCCTTATTTTACCATTAATTTGCTGCATGACCTTCATTAACTTTACCACTCTGGGCCTCAGTTTCCTCCATAAAACAGGGAGATAACATCAGATCATCACTTAGGTCCCTTCCACCTTTAATATCCAATAATATTCTAAGGCAAAAGAATATCCCTTCAGATTTTTGACAGTTATGCTAATTGAAAGGGACAAAAGACAAAGATAAATATAAGATTTACATATCCGGAAGAAAAGAAATCTGCTAAAAAAGCAGCCCCCAGAGACAAGGCACTTCCTCAGTGCAAAGATGACTGCAGTGTACTGTTTCTCATCGTTTAATCTGCATTCGACCAGCAAGAGAGCTTTGGAATTGAAAGCTAGGGAACAATGAACCCCAGGAAAGTTCTGACATTATTGGACGAAGGCACCTGGCCTAGCAGAAATAAGAGCTTGGTTAATCTCCATGAGTTAAAGGAGAGGTCTGTGACTAAAAGGACCCTGCTTTGGACCAGGAAAGTTGGTCTAAGAAAAGATCCCAGAGCTGGTGAAAGGAAGACTATCTTAACCTGTATTGTCACCTGTTCCCCGGAACAGTAATTCATAGAAGAGAGGCTATACCTCCCTCCCTCTCTCTGTCTCTGTCTCTCTCTCTTTTTTCTCTCGTTCCCTCTCTCTCTATCTCTGAAACTGTGTGCGTTAGTGGGAGAGTGTGCCCCAAATTTATGGATAATTTATTTTTGCTTTGTCTTTTTTTTTTAGTCAATGTTTCAACAGTTAATGAGAGAATTTGTTGTTGTTGTTTAGGATGGCTTTCTTGGAGTGGAGAAAGGGAAGGATTCAGGAAGAAGTTTAGGCGATGAAAACAAACCAAAACACCAATAAAAATCCATTGTTGCTTTTTTAACTGTTAGTGGAGCCAGCTGTGGCTGATTTATAGGAAGCATACTAGCTGGGGCTCAGGAACTAGAGTATAAAGTCATAGGAGAGTAGCCACCCCTCAGATTTATCCATAGAACCTTAAGAGAGTTAGTTGTGGCTTTGTGGCTGTTGCTGCCCCTCTGAGGGACCTCCAATCTGCCAGTATGGCAGCAAGTTCGGTGAGTGAATTAACCTAGAGAGAATAGAGTAGAAAGAAGGGGGAAGGGGACTGGGGAGGGATCTGCTACATTAATGTCCTACTGAGAATAGAATTTTAAAAAAAACATTTTGAAAAGCGACTGCATCAAACTAACTTTAAGCTCATAGGAGTTTATCTTAGCTTTCAATTCCCTTTCTTTTTGACTTGAATCTCACCTTTCATGTGCCAGAGTTTAGTCAAGCAGCAGCACACTGAATTGTGTGCTACAAAACAGATTGGATGAAACTGCTTCCCTGAGATGATTTGGGGAAATAAATAGGATAAGATGCTTTAACTATGGCATTGTTACCAGAAAGGTACAGGTGTGTTCACTATATTAGTGACGGATTTTTTGAGAGCTTGATGCGCCTCCGTTTTGGTGCATTGTGGAAGTCATGTGCTCCATATACATCG